CTGGCGGCATGGGGTGGGGGGGGCACCAGGCCACGTGGTGCCTCTCGGTTCGCGAGTGGACGACGAAGACGCTGCTGCTGCGACGCGGGGGATTTGTTTGCGATTCGTTGTTGTTGTTGTCTCGTCCGTCTCGTCTCATTCGTGTCTTCCGTGTCGTCTGTTCTGTTTTTAATGTTCGCCTCGTTTGGACTGTCGCGTCTCGTCTGTACCACCACCACCGTCGTCATCATCACCACCATCGTCGTCATCGTCACCACCACCACCACCGTCGTCCGTCATCATCACCACCACCGTCGTCATCGTCACCACCACCGTCGTCATCGTCACCACCACCACCATCGTCCGTCATCATCACCACCACCGTCGTCATCATCACCACCACCACCGTCGTCATCACCACCACCGTCATCGTCACCACCACCACCGTCGTCATCATCACCACCACCGTCGTCATCACCACCACCACCGTCGTCATCATTACCACCACCGTCGTCATCGTCACCACCACCGTCGTCATCGTCACCACTACCGTCGTCATCGCCACCACCACCGTCATCGTCACCACCACCGTCGTCATCGTCACCACCACCGTCGTCATCGTCACCACCACCGTCGTCATCGTCACCACCACCATCGTCATCGTCACCACCACCACCACCGTCATCGTCACCACCACCGTCGTCATCGTCACCACCACCATCGTCATCGTCACCACCACTATCGTCACCACCACCGTCGTCATCATCACAACCACCGTCGTCATCGTCACCACCACCACCGTCGTCATCACCACCACCACCGTCATCGTCACCACCACCATCGTCACCACCACCATCGTCATCGTCACCACCACCACCGTCGTCATCATCACCACCACCGTCGTCATCAGCACCACCACGGTCGTCATCGTCACCACCACCGTGGTCATCGTCACCACCAGCATCGTCATCGTCACCACCACCATCGTCATCGTCACCACCACTATCGTCACCACCACCGTCGTCATCATCACAACCACCATCGTCACCACCACCACCGTCGTCATCACCACCACCACCGTCATCGTCACCACCACCGTCGTCATCGTCACCACCACCATCGTCATCGTCACCACCACTACCGTCGTCATCATCACCACCACCGTCGTCATCAGCACCACCACGGTCGTCATCGTCACCACCACCGTGGTCATCGTCACCACCACCGTCGTCATCGTCACCAGCACCATCGTCATCGTCACCACCACTATCGTCACCACCACCGTCGTCATCATCACAACCACCGTCGTCATCGTCACCACCACCACCGTCGTCATCACCACCACCACCGTCGTCATCAGCACCACCACGGTCGTCATCGTCACCACCACCGTGGTCATCGTCACCACCACCACCGTCATCGTCACCACCACCGTCGTCATCGTCACCACCACCACCGTCATCGTCACCACCACCACCGTCATCGTCACCACCACCGTCGTCATCATCACCACCACCGGCGTCTTTGTCGCCTTCTCCTCCGCGAAGGAAGTTCGCTCTACTCAAGGCGCGCGTGAGGCGCACGTCGGCTCAACGTCGACAACGACGCTGTTTGTCGCTGGCCGCTTCACGTTCTGGGCCCTGTGCTCATCAGCTGCGTTAAAAGGGGCAGAGTTCACCTCTCTGTCCATGAAGCCCCCCTCCCCCCCATCCCCCCTCCCCCTGCCCCCCTCAAATTGCCCATGAGCAGGGCGAGGAGCCCTGCTCTGGACGCCAACACAGGCCGATGATTGAGCAGAGCTGAGCACAGCTGCCGTCGTGATCAGAGTGAAGAGCCATCACCGTGTTTATGGGGTTACAGCCACCCCCCGTGTCTAGTTCCTCCACTCACACCACCACCACCACTTAATTCCCCATGGAATATTCTCCAGGAGCCCCCCCCCCCCACCCTTTAAACCCGCAACTCCTAACCCCCCCCCTCCCATTTTCTGGAGCTCGGCCCTGGACAGCTCCGGCTGACGAAGCTCTGGTCCCACCCAGCACGCTTTGGCTGTGCTTCTATTGCGGCCGTTTCATCCGATTAGACGTAAATCACCACATGAGCGAAAGCATAGAGAGACAGAAACACAGCTGATGAGCATGGTGGCATGGAAGCCTGCGGCAATCTTCGTAAAAGTTGCGAGCGTTTAAACCTCAGGCTAAGCACGTGGGCTATCGGTCACAATTGATCTTTGTGGGGTTAGGCCACGCAATGAATGATCCGGCCACAGGTGTGTCGTCAGGACCCTCCACCACTACCCCGACGCAGCCAAACAAATCGTCACGTGGCGTACAAGCGTTTAACAACAAGAACGCGCCCGACTTCAGCTCACTGACTCACTCACACACTCACCCACTCACACAAAGACAAAGATCCCCCGTATAGCCTTAATAGACTGTTTGGGCAAAGTGCTGTTAGCGAGTAGCACCTATGAAGGCCAATACGGCACACGAAGGGGTGGGCGTAGCACCACGCCCGGCCGCCTTTGTCTCCCGAGTAGCGATGTTTACACACACACCATCAGCTACTAATTCACCCACTGGCACACATCCACCCACACACACAGACAAAGATCCCTCGTGTAGCCTTGAACAGACTGTTGGGGCAAGTGCTGTTAGCGAGCACATGGGAAGGCCGGAACTCACACACACTCACACACTCACACCCACACACTCACACACACTCACACACACCCACACACTCACACACAAAAAGACAAAGATCCCCCATATAGCCTTAACAGACTGTAGGGGCAAGTGCTGTTAGCGAGCACCTATGAAGGCCGGAACGGTACACGAGGGGGTGGGTGGCCAGCACCACGCCCGACCGCCTTTGTCTCCCTAGTGGCAATGTTTACACACCGCACCAGGTACTCATTTGAGGCTGAGTCGACCTAGGGGAGGCCTGGGACCGGTTCAGATAATCGTCACTGGTGTTGGCCGTGAGCGGGAATCGAACCCGGGTCGCCAGGTTCATAGCGCAGCGCGCTAACCGCTACACACACACACACCCACACACCCACACACACACACCCACACACCCACACCCACTCACCCACCCACACACTCACTCACTCACACACACACTCACTCACACACCCACACCCACTCACCCACACACTCACACACACCCACCCACACACCCACACACACACGAGTGAGTCAGCTCAAACAATGACAATCCTCGCTTTGTTAAACTATTGTAACACCGCCTGACAAATCAATGTATTTGGCTGCGTCGGGTGGTGGAGGGTCTTGACGACACAACACATCTATTATGCAGCGGTGGAGCAACACTGGCCACCCAGAGTGGGGGCCCATGGGTTCGACTCCGCCTGCCGCCACGCGCTGTGAATGAACGAAGCAAGCTCCGAAGCGACATTGAATCCATCCCCCCGTGTCCGTGTCAATGGGTGGCAAGTCACGTGTCGTGGTGGTGGTGGTGGGGTGTGGATACTCCCACCTCTCCCCCCACGTCATGGCCAACGTGGTAGGCCAAGTACCAGGAGTAGGCCACATACCCTCCAGATGCTCCCTCTAAGTGGTGGTCCCACCCGCGAGCAATGGCGTGTGCAAGGGTGTTGCAGGGCTGCCCCTTTGCCTACTACCTTCCAATGGACACACAGCCACGGACGGAGCCAGGGGCACGGGGGATGGTGGCCCCCACTCACTCGTTTAGCAGTGATGCCTGTACTCTGCCCCCCCCTCCTTCCACCCCCCCCCCCCCTGCACAACTCATTAACGACCCCCACACATGGCACGCGAGTCGAGAGCGGCGTTCGTGAACGAGCACCTGGAGATTTTCCTCCCCTCGTCCTCCACACAACACACGCGGTCCCTCTCCTCCTCCTCCTCTCTACACTCTACACTCCTAGTAGATCTGTGGTGTGCCCCCCCCCCCCCCCCCAGCCTCTTGGATGTAGGGGTTAGGTTACGGGGTCAGGGATAGCATTGGGGTTGAGGGTCTGGGTAAGGGTCAGGGATGGACATCGTCGTGACCATTCCTGAATCACTTCACCCATAATAAACTTCACCATAACCTGCACAGCCACGATCGGGTGAGCACCGCGCTCCATCACCGCACGGCTGGTGGAACCATGTGGGCTGCACCAGACCGATGACTCTCAACAACGGCGACACCGGCGCACAGCCTGTGGGGACGAGCCCCCTAAACCGCACCGAGACCCCGGGGCCCGACGATTGTGCCCTTGTCCTCTTGAGCAGCCATCATGGTAACTTAATCACTCCGCTCGGACAGCACGTGGCATTGTGATTTGCTTGGCCGTGCCAGGTGGTGGAGGGCCTTGACGACACAAATAGATTTAGCGGCCGCGTTTCAAATTCGTGACCGCTGCGAGCGTAAAATGTTCACCCTGCTCAGCTGCACAGACCAGTGAAGGGGAGCGGGGGGGGTCAGGGATCCCTGTTTCGTGAGCCCCAAGTCTCCCTCTCCTGCGGGGGTGGGGGGGATGTTCGTGGATATTACATCGCAGGATCGCGAGAGATGGCGATGCCCGTGTAAGATCGATGGTGTGGCCGCCCTGCGGTAAGGGTGGGGGGGCGGTGTGTTGTGGCCGCTGGTGGCCCCTGTGGTCTGGGACCTCTCTGACGCCGTATGGATGACATTTGGGGTTGGGTGAACCCTACGACTCAGGTCCTGACCTTGCACGCTGGGGTTCTATCTCCCTCTCTCTCTCTATAAATGGACGGTGTGGCCGCCCCATTTAAGGAGGGGAGTGTTGTGGCGGGGCTCCCTGCTGGACTAGGAACCTCGACCTTGCACGCTGTATCTCTCTACATGTCTAGATGGTGTGGCCGAGCTGTTCACCTTGTGGGGGGAGTGTTGTATAAATACATATTGTGAAATTCTGATCGTGGCCGCTCGTGAGGCGTTGTTGTATGACGATGGAGGCACCCACCCCCTCTCAACCCGGCCCCCCACCCAGCCCCCCCCCCCCCACGCCCCCCCCCCCCCCCCCCCCCCCCACCACGCTCCTGGCGGAACTCTCAGAACTCGACCTTGCAGGCGGGGAACGCCTCCCCCTGCATGAGCACGGTGCTGTTGGCGGCGAGCACGGCCACGTGGAGGCGGCGCTGCTCCTCACGCGTCTCGTGGAACCACTGGCGCAGGACCTCCGTGTCGTGCGTGGGCACCACCGTCACCTGGACACCACCACCAGTCACGGTGACACAGGTGTGTGCCGTACAAGTGACATAGGTGTGTGCTGTACAGGTGACACAGGTGTGTGCTGTACAGGTGAGACAGGTGTGCACTGTACAGGTGACACAGGTGTGTGCTGTACAGGTGACACAGGTGTGCACTGTACAGGTGACACAGGTGCGTGCTGTACAGGTGACACAGGTGCGTGCTGTACAGGTGACACAGGTGTGCACTGTACAGGTGACACAGGTGCGTGCTGTACTGGTGACACAGGTGTGTGGTGTGTGCTGTACAGGTGACACAGGTGCGTGCTATACAGGTGACACAGGTGCGTGCCGTACAGGTGACACAGGTGTGTACTGTACAAGTGACACAGGTGCGTGCCGTACAGGTGACACAGGTGTGTGGTGTGTGCTGTACAGGTGACACAGGTGTGCACTGTACAGGTGACACAGGTGTGTGCTGTACAAGTGACACAGGTGTGTGCCGTACAGGTGACACAGGTGTGTACTGTACAAGTGACACAGGTGCGTGCCATACAGGTGACACAAGTGTGTGCCGTACAGGTGACACAGGTGTGTGCTGTACAAGTGACACAGGTGTGTGCTGTACAGGTGACACAGGTGCGTGCTGTACAGGTGACACAGGTGTGTACTGTACAAGTGACACAGGTGTGCACTGTACAGGTGACACAGGTGCGTGCTGTACAGGTGACACAGGTGCGTGCTGTACAGGTGACACAGGTGTGCACTGTACAGGTGACACAGGTGCGTGCTGTACTGGTGACACAGGTGTGTGGTGTGTGCTGTACAGGTGACACAGGTGCGTGCTATACAGGTGACACAGGTGCGTGCCGTACAGGTGACACAGGTGTGTACTGTACAAGTGACACAGGTGCGTGCCGTACAGGTGACACAGGTGTGTGGTGTGTGCTGTACAGGTGACACAGGTGTGCACTGTACAGGTGACACAGGTGTGTGCTGTACAAGTGACACAGGTGTGTGCCGTACAGGTGACACAGGTGTGTACTGTACAAGTGACACAGGTGCGTGCTGTACAGGTGACACAAGTGTGTGCCGTACAGGTGACACAGGTGTGTGCTGTACAAGTGACACAGGTGTGTGCTGTACAGGTGACACAGGTGCGTGCTGTACAGGTGACACAGGTGTGTACTGTACAAGTGACACAGGTGTGTGCCGTACAAGTGACATAGGTGTGTGCTGTACAGGTGACACAGGTGTGCACTGTACAGGTGACACAGGTGCGTGCTGTACAGGTGACACAGGTGTGCACTGTACAGGTGACACAGGTGCGTGCTGTACTGGTGACACAGGTGTGTGGTGTGTGCTGTACAGGTGACACAGGTGCGTGCTATACAGGTGACACAGGTGTGCACTGTACAGGTGACACAGGTGCGTGCTGTACAGGTGACACAGGTGCGTGCCGTACAGGTGACACAGGTGTGTACTGTACAAGTGACACAGGTGCGTGCCGTACAGGTGACACAGGTGTGTGGTGTGTGCTGTACAGGTGACACAGGTGTGCACTGTACAGGTGACACAGGTGTGTGCCGTACAGGTGACACAGGTGTGTGCCGTACAGGTGACACAGGTGTGTGCTGTACAAGTGACACAGGTGTGTGCTGTACAGGTGACACAGGTGCGTGCTGTACAGGTGACACAGGTGTGTACTGTACAAGTGACACAGGTGCGTGCTGTACAGGTGACACAGGTGTGTGCTGTACAGGTGACACAGGTGTGTACTGTACAGGTGACACAGGTGTGTACTGTACAGGTGACACAGGTGCGTGCTGTACAGGTGACACAGGTGCGTACTGTACAGGTGACATAGGTGCATACTGTACAGGTGACACAGGTGCATACTGTACAAGTGACACAGGTGTGTGCTGTACAGGTGACACAGGTGTGTGCTGTACAGGTGACACAGGTGTATACTGTACAGGTGCATGCTCACCTGTGCGTCGCCCCCCCCAGGTGGCCTTCCCCCGGAGCAGCGCGTCGAGCACGGCGCGGCAGGGCTGGTTGGCTCCCGGGTGAGCGCCGCTCACCACGTAGTGCGACGCTCGCACACGACGGAAGAATTCGGCGTCGCAGGCCCCCGGCGCCGCGTGCCCCGGCACGAACGCCAGGTCCACGTGGACGGGGGCGGCCCCCCGCGTGGAGGAGCGCCCCGCGCCTGCAGCGGCACAACACAGAGTGGGGGGGGGGGCACCGCACGTGAACACGCAAAGACGAAGACCCCCCCCCCATGTGTGGACCATGACAGACCGCCGGGGCGAGTGGCTCTTTGCGAGCAGTACCTGCGGCGGTCGGGACGGTGCACCAGGGGGTGGTGTGGTCATCCACCACGCCCGGCCGTGGTGGATGACCACTGGTGTTGGCCATGGGCGGGAATTGAAGTCGGGTCGACGGGTTCGTAGTAGAGCACGTTTACCACTACACTACCGCTACCCACAAAGACAAAGATTTCCCGTATAGACTTAACAGACTGTAGGGGCAAGTGCTGTTAGCGAGCACCTATAAAGGCCGGCACGGCATATGAGGGGGTGGTTGGCCAACACCACGCCCGGCCGCCTTTGTCTCCCACGCACCCACACGGACACACACACACATGGGCACAGGAGTACAGGTACACAGGTGACTGGATATAAAGGTGTACGGATATAATGGTCTATAGAAATAGAGGTGTCAAGAAATAGAGGTGTCCAGATATACAGGTGACCACATACACAGGTGACCACATACACAGGTGACCGCATACACAGGTGACCAGGTAAACAGGTGACCAGGTAAACAGGGTGTACAGATACGCGGGTACACGGAGGGGAGACGATGTCCAACAAGGGGAGCTTGCAAGGGGATCACGAGCCGAGCTCGCCACGATCACAGAGCCGTGCTCTTGGGCGTCAGCCGAGCGCGCTCTGCTGGCGGCAACAACAACAACAACGAGCCATGACCCTGCTGGTGACCATGACGATGCAGACAATGCTGCTGCTACTGATGCTGCTGCTGATGCTGCTGCTGATGGTGGTGGTGCTGCTGCTGATGCTGCTGATGCTGCTGCTGATGGTGGTGGTGCTGCTGCTGATGCTGCTGCTGATAGTGATGCTGATAGTGCTGCTGCTGATGATAGTGCTGCTGCTGATAGTGCTGCTGCTGCTGATAGTGCTGCTGCTGCTGAAGGGCAGCCTCACCCGTGCCGGCCGCCCTCCCGTCAACCCGTGCCCGCGTCTTCCCATTGGGGCTCTTCGCCGCATCCTTCTCCACATCCTCCTCGTCCCTCTTCTTCTTCTTCACCTTCTTCCTCTCCTCCTCCTCCTTCCCCGCGCCCGTCGCCACCCCGGCTGCCCTGGCCTTGGCGTGCGACCTCCGACCCGGCGAGGAGGGCGCGGCCGTCGCCTTGCGGCCCTTGGCGGCCTTCTCCCCGGGCTCCCGCTCGAGCGGCCCGTCCGGCGGCGGCGCCGCCTCGGGGTCGACCATGGCCACGCCGGGGTCCCGCGCCGGCGGGCAGGGATCCGGCGGCACCGCCGCCGCCGCCGCCGCCGGATGCCGGGAGCCGCACGAAGGCGCCGGGGGAGGCGGCGGGGTCGGCGCCGGCTTGTCGGCGGGCAGGCACTCCGAGTCGTCGTCCGAGTCCAGCATGGCGTCGGCCGTGATGGACGGGCACTCCTCCGTCTCGGGGGGCACGTCCGAGTCCGTCTGCGTGGGCAGCGACTCGCTGACGGACGAGGGCGGCGTGTCGTCGTCGTCGTGGTGGTGGCGGTGGTGGGTGTGGTGGTGGTGACGGGACGCGGCCGGCGGCGGCGGCGGCGGCCCGACGGGCCCGCACAAGGGCCCAGCCTCGCTCGCCAAGATGCCTTCTTCTTCTTCTTCTTCTTCCCGTTTCTCTCCTCGGCTCCAGGGTCGGTCGCCACGTCGGTTGTCCCCATCGGACATCGGAGACAGCGACGCCCTCGCGTGCTTGAACTCGCAGGGAGACACCAGGCACAGGTCGACGGAGGCAGTGGCCGCAAGAGGTGCAGCCTCGCTGATAAGAAACCCACTGCCACCACCGTCGTCGTCGTTGCTGCGAGCTCTGCGGCCAGTCGAGTCGCTCCCCTGGTGGCACGGCGCGCCGTCACCGCGCGCCGGGATGGCCGGCGCGTTGTCGCGGTGCGCTCGGGGCGCCGGCACCTCCACCACGGACGGCCCCTCGAGGGTGCGTGAGGACCTGAATGAGGAGTTCCTCGACAATTCCGGAGAGGCCACCTCCTCGACGATGGGCGAGGTGAGTGGGGAGCTGGCAAGCGGGTCCGAGGGCGACGTCACGGACTCGATCAAGGGCCAGCGGCCCGACTCCGGCTCCTCCTCGGGGGCCGCGTCGGGCGTTTGGGCGAGCTCCACGACGGGGTACCCAGCGGGGGACCCCTCGGGCGAGGGGCCGCTCCCCCCGCGGGGAGACCCACGACCGCCGCTCTCCATGGGGTCGCCCTCCGGCGCGGATGACTCGGGGAAGTTGTCGGATTTGCGCAAACTCAGGTTGAGGACGGGCTCGGGTCGCGCGACGGGGCCCGGCGGGGCGTTGTCCCACCCCGGCTTCGCGTCGGAGAGAAGGCAAGGCCCTGGGCCCTCCGCCGATGGGGAGAAGTCCACCTCTGTGGGGCCGTTGGCCACGGCTCGAGGGGGAGCTTCACCTTCTCCATGCCCCATCGCTGCCGTCTCCCGCTCGGGGCGATGGCGGCAGTCGTCGACCGTGAAGTAGCGCCACTCTTTCTCCGTCGGGGCCCGCATCTCAACGACGTCTCCCGGGATGAGCACCACGTTGGCCTTGCTCGGGCGACGGGGGCCCTGGGACTCGGGCGACGGGGCCTCAAACTGGATGTAGCCCGGCCCCACGATGTTCTCCTCCACGGGCGACAGCGACCTCTCTGAGGAGGACCGCGGCTGCTGTAACAGAGACCCCTCATGCTTCCGGCCGGACGCCCTCTGCTCCCGGTCGCCCTCTCCGACGGTGGCCGGGCCCGAGCCGAGCGGCGGCCGTGCCTCCTCGAAGGGGCTGAGCGAGGGGAAGTCGGCGGCGACCCCCAGCGACGGGGGGATCTTGTCGAAGCTCAGCGACCTCGTGCTCTTCGGCGTGCCGCCCTCGCCGGTCAGCGACTCAAACTCCTTCAGGTCCAGCTTGGGGGGGCCGGCGGCCTCGGAGGCCCCGGGAGTGGTCGACGAGCCCCGATCCCTCCCGCCCGGGGACTCCTCCTCAGACGCGGACGACTGGCAGGACGGCGGCCGGTAGCATGAGCCCAGGGGCGGGGGGCTGCGCATGGGGGACAGCACTTTCTCATCGGAGTGGACAAAGTCCGGCACGGGCTCGTCCATGGGGCTCACGTTCTGCTCCCCGTCGGGGCTCGTGGCGCTGGGCGGCGCCGCGCCCGGCGCGGTCGCATCCACGACCTCCGCCTGCACCACGCTGAACTTTTCCTCGACGGGAGACTGGTAGAACGGCGTGTGGCCGGCACTGGCCGGCGGGGAGACCGCATGGGAGTCCGGGCGGAAGGCCGTGGTCTCGGCGATGATGTGATCATTCAGCGAATTGTTGAACTTCTGCTCAAAGTTAAGGATGTTCCGGTCTAGCGTCGTCCTGATCTCGGTGGGTGTCAGGTCGAAGTTTACGCTCCGCTCGCTGCCGGGGGTCTTGAGGAGCGGCGACGGAGGAACCGGGCTCTTTTGGGGACTTCCATTGCTCGCCGAACCTCGCCGGAACAGCTGCCCTCCCTCCCCTTCCTCCTCGCCATTCTTGGCCACGTTGGCAAGGCAGAATTTCGCAGGCTGCAGTTGAAAGGACCTGTCTTCTTCGATGGAAGAGGTGGGAGATATCGTGTGTGCCGAGACGATGCAGTCCTTGCCCTGCGTCTCCTCCGTGCGGGTCACCGTGGAGGACGATTCGCTGTCGAGGCGCTCCCTCTCCAACCACGCTGGGTTTGCAAGGTCCACGTGGAGCTTCGTCGCGTGGCCATTACCAGCGGCTCCGTTCCCAAGTGTCTGGTTCCCTACGAAGGCCAAAGACTCCATCTCTAGGTAGGTGGACAGATTATCTGCGGCAGGGTGAGGCAATGGTGCAGACGGCACTTTGCCACCACTCGTGGGAAAGTTTTCCGTCAGATTTGACGACACTTTTTCACATCCGCGTTCGAAAGCAGCAGCTTCAACTTGTTCGTCATCGTCATCGCCGCTGCCATCCTCGCGTCGTTCAGGCTCTTCATCGGAGCTCTCCGCGTCGGCCTGATTAGCAGCTCCATCCGAATCGGTCCGGCTATCAGAATCCCGTGGCGCTTCGGGGCGAGCGGAGCTGGTGGCATCTCCCTCGACGGCACCGCCGGCCTCGTCGCCACCGCGGTCTCCAGGACCCTCGGAGGCTTCGCCGCCGCCCAGGCCCTGCTTTTGCTCCGCGTCGTTGTTCGCATCGCTCCGCACGCTGTCCCTCTCTTTGAACTCCTGCTCGTCATTGTCTTCGGTCTCGGCCTTCTCCTCGTAGTCCCCCGTGTCGGAAGATTCCCCGAAAGCGTCGTCCTCCTCCTGCTCCGCTTCCACCACCGCCGCCACATCGTGTTCCTCCACTTCCTCTCGGCCCATGCCTCCTTTCCCCACCTTGATCTCGCCGCCAGACTCTTCGGGAGGCGAAGACTCGAGCTCGGCTTCGCCGTCCGTGGCTGCGATCCCTTCGTCGGGGGATTCCGTGGAGAGTGCGGTGCGGAAGCAGGGCTCTTCGCCGATGCTCGGGACGATGTCCTCCTTGGACAGCGGCGTCTCAGGACTCCGGTCCTCCAGGACCTCATCTTCTACGGGGACGTCTCCCTTCTCGATGATCTCCAAGCCAGATTCCTCCCCCACCTCCCCTTCCACCTGCTTGAGCTCTTCAAAGTCACGGGTCAGATCTTCGGGTGTGGACATGCGGGACCTTTCCAGCTGCTGCTCCATTTTTGTGTGAAGCGTGGCCAGGGCGGGTGAAGGCGTCACCTTTGGAGTGGTCACCGCAGCACTCCTGGCTGGACTGTCGGCCTTCTTCTTGTCCCCCTTCGCTTTGGCTTTGTCTGCGGTCTTTGCGGCGATAGGCGCCGTCTCCTTCAGGGAAGATTCCCTCTTGAGCGGCTTCTCCGGGGTCTTCTTGGTTGCCTTGCGAACGTCCTTCTTCACCTCCTTGGCCTCTCGTTTCACCTTCCCCTCCGAGGCCCTGGCCGTCTTCTTCGGCTCTTCCTCCTTTTTGGACGAGAGTGACGACTCTCTCCTCACCTCCCTCCTCACCTCCCTCTTCACCTCTTCCTTTTTCAGCTCCTTCTTCTCGACTTTGACCTTCCGCTCCACTTTCTTCACGTCGTCGCGCTTCACCTCCTTCGTTACATCCTTCTCCCGCTTCACCTCCTTCTTCAGCTGCTTCACCTCTTTCTCCTTCTGGCTGACGCTTTCTGCCCTCTTCAGCCTCTCCTGGGGATCCTTCACCGTCTTCTTCAGGACCTTCTGCGTCTTCTTGCTCTCCGCCGGCACGCCCTCCCGCTTCTCCTGCTGGTTCTCGGGAACCGCGGCCTCGCTCGGGGCCACAAACGCCGATCCCGCCGCCGCCTCCCCCTCGGCTGGCTCGGTCCGCCAACTCTTCACCTCCTCGCTTCCGTCAGCGTTCACGTGACCCAGGCCCCGGTCCCCCCCCGCGCCCCCCCGCGGGCCTCCCGGCGGAGGCGGCGGCGCCCTGTCGCCGGCCGGCTGAGACCCCGACGCCGCCCCCGCCGCCGCGTCCTCCTTCTCGCGGCCCGCCGCGAGGTCCTTCTCCGTGACCACGGGCCTACGCAGGAAGTCCAGGTGCCGCAGCCTGTCGAGGCCCTCGAGGATCTTGCCCTGCGGTGCCGAGCCGGCGAACAGGACGCGCACGGTCTTCTCGCACGGCGCCACGGGGTGCCACACCACGAGCGCCGAGATGGACGTCGCGCGGTTCAAGAGCGGCGCGGTGCCAGGGCCGCCGGGGTCGCGGGCCCAGCCCCGCACGAAGCGCCGCAGCTCCTCGCTGTCGCCCACCGGGTTGAGCACGTACATGTCCAGGCGGCCCACGCCCATCTTGTGGAAGAGCGTCACCGGCTTCAGGACGTCGGAGGCCGGGGGTCGGAAGAGCGGCTCGGGTTTGATGCAGAGCTTCTGCAGGAGCTGCACCGTGAGCCGCGCCTCCTGCGCCGCCGTGCGGGCCGACGGGGCGCCGGCCGCCGCCGCCGATGACGAGGAGGAAGGAGAGTGAGGAGGAAGGTCGGGCGCGTTGAAGAAGACGACGCCGATCTCGGGGGAGACGAGGTTCTTCATCCACTCGCTGGGCGAGGTGGAGCCCTGCGAGGCTTCCTCGTCGCCCTCCGCCACCTTGCGCTGCAGGAGGCTGTTCACGCTCGGGAGGTTGTCGGCACCGGCTGTGCGTGATCAACATCGAGTCCACCCGGTCCAGGTGGCGAACCTGGGGGGGGGGGGGGGTTACGAGGAGGAGGAGGAGCAGAGGGAGGGAGGAATAAGAAAGCCTCGTTCACTCAAGCATTGCTTTCCTTCTGGCGACAATGAGGTCGTTCTTCCACGACGCAGAGCGAAGACCGCCAGCAGTGGCACACAAGGGGAGTAAGTGTGGCGTTGTAAACTAAAAGATAAAGACGCAGCCCTGGAAGTGCTCTCTCGGGCCACTGCTATACGGAGCCCTAGAGAGCCCTTCTAGAGAGAGGGTATTTGGCCTACTCTTCCACACTAACTAAGCATCTTGGAAGATGTGGTCCACCAGTTAGTCTTTGAACGGCAGGTAACGTATGGTGGAGTTTGGACACTTCGCTACCGTGGGGAACGGTGGCGCAGTGGTTAGTGCGCTCTGCTCCTGGGCTTCACCTAGGTCGACTCAGCCTTAAACTGAGTATCTAGTGCGATGTGTAAACATCGCCACTGGGGATACAAAGGCGACCAGGCGTGTTGCTGGCCACCCCACCCTCTTGGTGCGTCGTACCGGCCTTAATAGGCGCTCACTAACAGCACTTGCCCCAGCAGTCCGTTAAAGGCTATACGGGGGATCTTTGCCATTGTACTCCTCCTCTTCCAACACGTCTGGTCAATGTGGAAGAGTCGCCCCCCCACCATCCCCCCCACTGCCCCCCCCCCCTCCTCACCAACTTCCAGAGTCCCGAGCTGGGGTGGGACCCCCCGTCCAGGAGGATGTTGAAGCCGTTCACGGCGAAGAGTGCTGAGTCACCTCTTCCTCCGGGGAAGATGTAGCAGCAGGGGCGAGTCAGCTGCTCCACCATGCGGGGGGGAGGAGTGGACATACACGTTCACCTTCGTTATTCCAGACGAGATGTTTGGTGGATGCGTGGTCAGTTAACAAACACCCCCACCACCCACGGCTCACATTGTTGTGCTGTACTTCTATGCACCCGGGTCTACGTCCCTACGCCTTCGCCAACCCAACCCGCACCCGTGACCGGTGTGGTGAAGTATGGTCAAATACCCCCTCCCGCCGCAACGTCGCGTTGGGGGGAGGCCCTCATGCAGCAGTTGATTCGAGACGGTGATGCGGGCGCCGCCGTAGCGCGTTCGCCGCCTGTCGCAGAAGGTTCCAATCCGGTGGCCGCCCTGGTCAATTTACAACTTGGCATCGGCGCGTGTATTCGGGTGGCAGCAGGAAACTGTTGCCGTGTTGATCTCGGTGGTGATGACAGAACGGTTTATCGACCCGAGGAGGTGTAATGGGCTGAGAGAAGGCCTAGGCCACGGGTCGGCAACGAAAATAACAAGGAGGCATTTTTGTCGAATTCGGTGAAAGAAATAAACCTCAATATTTAATAAGCAGCGTCGTGAAGCGGTCACTTCAAGAGCCACCGCACGCGGCTCCGGAGCCGCCGGTTGCCGACCCCTGACCTAGGCCGACTGTGGGCAAGGCGGCGACCCCCCCCCCCTCCCCCTCCCCCTCGGGGCTCTCCGCTGCACCTTGAGGAATCCCCCGGACGTGGGGGGCTCCAGGAGGTCGAAGGGGCCCTGCACCTCCAGGGACTCGGAGAGGTACTCCGTGAACTCGAGCAGCCCCTCCGTGGGGGACAGCAGCGGCTCGGGGTTCACACAAACCTCCAGCAGCTCCTGCAGCGCAGAGAGGGGGGGTCGCGGGGGCGGGGGGGTCACAGGAGATTCAGGGTCATCACGGAGGACATGGGGTATCATAGGGGACACCTGTACACTCACTCACCTACACACACACTCACCTGTACACCCACTCACCTACACACACACACTCACCTGTACACTCACTCACCTACACACACACTCACCTGTACACTCACTCACCTACACACACACTCACCTGTACACCCACTCACTTACACACACACTCACCTTACACTCACTCACCTACACACTCACTCACCTGTACACTCACTCACCTTACACTCACTCACCTGTACACTCACTCACCTTACACTCACTCACCTACACACTTACTCACCTGTACACTCACTCACCTATACACACACTCACCTGTACACTCGCTCACCTACACGCTCACTCACCTGTACACTCACTCACCTGTACACTCACTCATCTGTACACTCACTCACATGTACACTCACTCACCTACACACTCATTCACCTACACAATCACTCACCTGTACACTCGCTCACCTACACACTCACTCACTGGTACACATACTCACCTGTACACTCACTCACCTGTACACTCACTCACCTACACACTCACTCACCTGTACACATACTTACCTGTACACACACCTGTACACATACTCACCTGTACACTCACTCACCTGTACACTCACTCACCTGTACACTCACTCACTCACCTGTACACTCACTCACCTACACACACACTCACCTGTAGACTCATTCACCTGTACACTCACTCACCTACACACACACTCACCTGTACACTCACTCACCTACACACTCACTCACATGCACACTCACTCACCTGTACACTCACTCACATGTACACTCACTCACCTCCACACTCACCTGTAAACATACTTACCTGTACACTCACTCACCTGTACACATAGTTACCTGTACACTCACTCACCTGTACACTCACTCACCTAAACACACACTCACCTGTACACTCATTCACCTGTACACTCACCAGTACACTCACTCACCTACACACACACACTCACCTGTACACTCACTCACCTGTACACTCACTCACCTGTACACTCACTCACCTGTACACTCACTCACCTGTACACATACTCACCTGTACACTCGCTCACCTGTACACTCACACTCATACCAGTACATACACTCATACCAGTACACTCAGTCATACCACACACTCATTCCAGTACACACACTCATACCAGTACACACACTCACCTACAAACACTCTCACACTCATACCAGTACACACACACATACCAGTAAACACACTCATACCAGTACACACACTCATACCAGTACACACACTCATACCACACACTCATACCAGTACACACACTCATACAAGTACACACACTCATACAAGTACACACACTCATACAAGTACACACACTCACCTAGACAAATCTGTAAAGACAAATTATCCCCCTTACAGCCTTAACATACTTTTGGGGCAAGTGCTGTTAGCGAGCACCTGAGATGGCTGGCACAGCACATGAGTGGCCAGAACCACACCTGGACGCCTTTGTCTCCCCAGTGGCGATGTTTACACACCGCACCAGGTACTCATTTGAGGCTGAGTCGACCAAGGGGAGGAGGCCCAGGACCGTTTCAGATAATCGTCCATGTTGTTAGCCGTGAGCGGGAATCGAACTCAGGTCGCCGGCTTCGTAGCGCAGTGCGTTAACCGCTGCTCCACCGCTCCCCGTACACACCTGCACACACCTGCACACACCACTACACACCTGTACACACCACTACACACCACTACACACCTGTACACACCACTACACACCTGTACACACCACTACACACCACTACACACCTGTACACACCACTACACACCACTACACACCACTACACACCTGTACACACCACTACACATCTGTACACACCACTACGCACCACTACACACCTGTACACATCTGTACACACCTGTACACACCACTACACACGACTAGACACCTACACACACCTGTACACACCACTACACACCTGTACACACCACTACACACCTGTACACACCACTACACACCTGTACACACCACTACACACCACTACACACCTGTACACACCACTAAATACCTGTACACACCACTACACACCACTACACATCTGTACACATCTGTACACACCACTACACACGACTAGACACCTGCACACACCTGTACACACCACTACACACCTGTACACACCACTACACACCTGTACACACCTGTACACACCACTACACACCTGTACACACCACTACACACCACTACACACCTGTACACACCACTGCACACCACTAAACACCTGTACACACCTGTACACACCACTACACACCTGTACACACCACTACACACCACTACACACCTGTACACTCGCTCGCTCACCTGCTGCAGGTGCTCGAGTGCCGGCGAGGAGAGCACGTGCCACCCCCCGCGGCGCGGACAATGCAGGGTGAGGCGAGGGCGGTGAGCGGGGAGGGGGGCGTTCGGGGGCTCAGTCACCTGGGGGGCGGGGAGGGGGGGCGGGGAGGGGGGCAAGACCACGGGGTCGGGAGTGTGCAGGGTTAGGGCTGTGGTAGCGCTTGGGTTGACACTGCACCGGGGTTAACACTGCACTAGGGTTGACACTGCACCGGGGTTGACACTGCACTAGGGTTGACACTGCACTAGGGTTGATACTGCACTAGGGTTGACACTGCACTAGGGTTAACACTGCACTAGGGTTAACACTGCACTAGGGTTGACACTGCACTAGGGTTGACACTGCACCGAGGTTGACACTGCACTAGGGTTAACACTGCACTAGGGTTAACACTGCACTAGGGTTGACACTGCACCGGGGTTAACACTGCACTAGGGTTGACACTGCACTAGGGTTGACACTGCACCGGGGTTGACACTGCACCAGGGTTGACACTGCACTAGGGTTGATACTGCACCAGGGTTAACACTGCACCAGGGTTGACACTGCACCAAGGTTGACACTGCACCAGGGTTGACACTGCACTAGGGTTGATACTGCACCAGGGTTAACACTGCACCAGGGTTGACACTGCACTAGGGTTGATACTGCACCAGGGTTAACACTGCACCAGGGTTGACACTGCACTAGGGTTAACACTGCACTAGGGTTGACACTGCACTAGGGTTGATACTGCACCGGGGTTGACACTGCACTAGGGTTGACACTGCACCGGGGTTGACACTGCACCGGGGTTGACACTGCACTAGGGTTGACACTGCACCAAGGTTGACACTGCACCGGGGTTGACACTGCACCGGGGTTGACACTGCACCGGGGTTGACACTGCACCGGGGTTGACACTGCACTAGGGTTAACACTGCACCGGGGTTGACACTGCACCGGGGTTGACACTGCACTAGGGTTGACACTGCACCAGGGTTGACACTGCACCGAGGTTGACACTGCACCAGGGTTAACGGTTAATGGATACGCTTGTGGGGGCCCAGGGGTAGGGATTAGGGACAGAGTTGGGGTTAGGATTGTACTTGGGGTGCCACGGTGGCTAGGAGATGTTAACTACCACGTCTGGTATGTTGGAGGTCGTGGGTTCGATCCCGACCCTGACGCCTGCTGCTGTATATTTGGAGGTTGCCTGTCTTTCTCTCCCCATAGTCACGTGGATTTTTCTCCAGGTGCTCTGGTTTTTCTCTCCACATTTCAAATCAGCGTGCGTTCAGAGTATTTGTCTGCTATAAATATGCACGTGACAAGCCACTTCGTTGACCTATCATCTGTGGCCGCTGTCAATGTCCACGTGACGAGCCACTTCGTTGAGCTCTCATCTGTGGCCGGCTCACTTCAGAAAAAGAGCTACAGAGCTCAGTGGAGCCTTCGCTGCTGAAATCAAAACGAGTTTAGTTTTACTCGACTGCGCAGGGTCACGGATAGGGTTGGGGCCGGGCCCGTGATCGTGCGGGGGGGTGGGGTGGACCTCGGGATCCGAGAAGATGATGTCGGCGAGTGAGTCGGGGGTGAAAAAGCCGTCGCGGAGACACAGGTCCCCAGAGTCCTCGTAGCAGCAGCCGGCCAGGACGAGCAACTTGTGGCGGCACGCACCCGCCACCAGGGCTCGGACCTAAGTGGGGGGCACGCGGGGGGGGGGGGGGCACACGTGGGGGGGGTACACACGCGTGAAGAGTGGTGGGGGTCATGACCCCTGCACGCTGGTCACACAATGCACACGCGCGTGACGCTTGCCACGACCCTAAGGGTACCCCTACAGCTAAACACGACTCCTTACACAATCCCTACATCTACCCCAACACCACCCCCGATACTACCACGAACACGATGTTACCCTACCACTACAAATACCACGAATTATAGCCCTAGCATCACTCCTGAGGCTGTCCCTACCTCTATGTAAGTATGATGTTGGACTTCTTTCGCACCGTACGTAGCCAACCGCACTAATGAGAGGTGGGGGGGGGGGGGGGACACAACAAACTAAACACTGGAACAGCTCTAAAGAAATGAGTTTTCAATTTGTATTTAGGAGTGGAAAGCTCCAGCGGCCTCGTGATCACCACTCACACTGCCCCCACCTCCAAATCGATCCCTAACCTCACCCCTCTTGAATGACACCACTAACCCAACCTCTCCGTCCTTAACACCTAAACCCAATGACCAGCTATAGTCCTCACCCTAAAACGTTACTTATAACCCGAACTTCTAGATTTGAAGCTCTCGTGACTGCAAGGATCCATACTCTTTGGTTCTATTCGGTAAAGTCACGTAGGTAAAAAATAAAACAACAAAAAAACACGCAAAAATCACGCCGTTTCGGCCACAACACAAGTGGCCTTCATCAGGTGAACACCTATACCCCTATTCTCCGAACGACTCCGAGAACGCCTCCTCTTCTCTGCCGCTACCCATGGCTCGGTGACGAGGGAAGAAGCAGCGTGGGCTGAGCCACGAGGGATCCAACGACGTGAGCGCAAACAGGCGCAAGGAAGGGAAATGATGACGAACAAAAAGAGTGACAACAATTGAAGGAATCACTGATCCCACGGCGGCGAGCATGGGGCTCGGGGTGACGCGGGCGCCGGCTCCCCGGGACTCACGCGGAACGCTGCCTTCACGCACGCGCCTGGAGGGCCAACCTCGGGCACAGGAGGACACAAAGCAAAACTCAAAGGCAACAGAAGCAGAGCAAGGCGCCACGCAAAGCCAAGGGAGAAGGATCCCGCCTCCCCGTAACGAGCGCCCATTGAGAGGCCGACTCGGATCACGAAGGTGAACGGTGGTCGGTGCCGGCACGCCTGCCCGGCCGCCTTTGTCTCCCCCCACCCCCGAATGCTGATGGCGATTATACACTGCGCCAGGTACTCAGTTGAAGGCTGAGTGGACCTAGGGGAGGTCCATTGATCGGTTTGGATATTCGTCACCGCTGTTGGCCGTGAGCGGGAATCGAACTGGGGTCTGCAGGGTTCGTAGGGCAGTGCTCTTTCCACTACGCTACCGCTGCACGCGCCAACACACACCAACACACACTCACACACACCAACACACACACCAACACACACTCACCAACACACACTCACACACACCAACACACACACCAACACACACTCACCAACACACACCAACACACACCAACACACACTCACACACACCAACACACACCAACACACTCACCAACACACACTCACACACACCAACACACACACCAACACACACTCACCAACACACACCAACACACACCAACACACACTCACACACACCAACACACACCAACACACTCACCAACACACACTCACCAACACACACTCACCAACACACACCAACACACACTCACCAACACACACTCACACACACCAACACACACTCACCAACACACACACCAACACACACCAACACACACTCACACACACCAACACACACACCAACACACACACCAACACACACTCACACACACCAACACACACACCAACACACACTCACACACACCAACACACACACCAACACACACTCACCAACACACACCAACACACACTCACCAACACACACTCACACACACCAACACACACCCCAACACACACACCAACACACACCAACACACACACACCAACACACACTGAGAAAGACAAAGACAAAGATCCCCCGTATAGCCTTAACAGACTGTAGGGGCAAGTGCTGTTAGCGAGCACCTTCACACTGACACACACCAACACACACCAACACACACACTCACACACACCAACACACACACACCAACACACACTCACACACACCAACACACACTCACCCCGATATGCAGAAACGCTCACATACACGAACACACACCAACACACACCAACACACACTCACCCTGATATGCTGAGACACTCACACACACACACCAACACACACTCACCCCGATATGCTGAGACACTCACACACACACACACCAACACACACTCACACACACTAACACTCACCCCGATATGCTGAGACACACACACACCAACACACACTCACACACACCAACACACACTCACCCCGATATGTTGAGACACTAACACACACACCAACACACACTCACTCACACACACCAACACACACTCACCCCGATATGCAGAGACGCTCACACTCACCAACACACAAACACACACTCACCCCGATATGCTGAGACACTCACATACACCAACACACACTCAGCCCAATATGCTGAGAAACTCACACACAGCGAGATTAGGGAGTGATGCAGGGGTATGGAGGGGGGCGGGGGTAGGGGTGGAGGGTAGGGAGTGATGCAGGGGTAGGGGGGGGGTGGAGGGGAGGGAGTGATGCAGGGGTATGGGGGGGGGTGGAGGGTAGGGAGTGATGCAGGGTATGGGGGGGGGGTGGAGGGTAGGGAGTGATGCAGGGTATGGGGGGGGGGTGCAGGGTAGGGAGTGATGCAGGGGTATGGGGGGGGGTGGAGGGGAGGGAGTGATGCAGGGGTATGGGGGGGGTACGGGTGGAGGGGAGGGAGTGATGCAGGGGTATGGAGGGGGGGGGGGTACGGGTGAAGGGGGTATGGGAGGGGACCCCACCTCTGTGCACACCGTCTCCTCGGCGGGGTTGATCAGCACCACACTCTCCAGGTCGTCGCTCTTGTGGTGCAGCACTTTTTGTCCTTCAAGAAGGAGAAGAGGAGCGGACGGAGCAGCCAGCAAAGAGGGCGTGGGGGTGGTAATGGGGAACGCGACCACCGACATTCATGTTGACAAGCGCTGTCCTACCAGACAGTCTCGTCCCTTCACCTGATGAAGGCCGCTTGTGTTGTAGCCGAAACGTCGTGAGAATATTATTGTGTTATTTTATTTTATCAATTTATTATTTTATTCTAATTCTACGTGACTTTACCGAAAGAACCAAAGAAGAAGCAGAGCTCAGTATCGTCCCTCGCAGTTCATCAAACGATCACTCGGCAGGCACCTGCGCACGTGCAGTCGCCATTGGTCAATCCACTGTTGGATTGAGGAGCTCTCTGCCTTCTCGTCCACCTTCAAACGTAATTTGCCCGTGCCAACTTTCATCACAGGAAATGCATTTTCTTCAATATCGACCGGATGTCCGTGCGGTATTATCGATTTCTTCGGTAATGCGGTCGTCTCGGCCATGATGTTTCTATTCCCTTGGTCGCTGTAACTTTATTTTTTTTCGTCATTTCGATGATCCATGCCACTCGTGCAAATGGGACTGCGTTGTGGTCTCTTGAGTTCCCAGCCTGGTTAAGCCAAATAAACAGGGAACTCGATGAACTCACTCATTCACTCACCCACTCACTTGCTCAATTATTCACCCACTCACCCACCCACCCATTCACCTATCCACCCACCCATTCACTCACCCACTCAGCCACTCCCTCACCCACCCACCCACCGACTAATTCGCTCACTCATTCACTCACTCGCTCACCCAGTTGAGTGATTGGGTAGGTAGATGAATGAGTAAATGGTGAATGATTGAGAGGGTGAGCGAATGAGCGAGTTGGTGAATGATTGAGAGGGTGAGCGAGTGAGCGAGTTGGTGAATGATTGAGAGGGTGAGCGAGTGAGCTAGTGGGTGAGTGAGCGAGTGAGCGAGCGAATGAGCGAGTTAATGAATGATTGAGCGGGTAGGTGAGTGAGTGAGCTCAAGTTCCACGTTGACTTTGTGCAACGAGGTGAGAGCTCAAGAGGAGACCAGGAGAGATTCTCATGTGCAAGAGAAGACCCTGGGGTCACCCAAGACCACAAAGACAAAGCAGACACAATCATGTTGGAGCAATGAGGCGAATAGAACTCGGGACAAGAACGAGAAGACCCCGCGTGGCCTGGAGCGTCGAGTGAGTGGGGGGGGCAACACCGCACGCCCGGCCGCCTTTGTCTCCCCGGTGCTGGCGATCCGGCAGCGCGAGGGTTAAGCCCGGCGAGACACCGCGGATGCCTCCGCCGACGCCGCCGCTGAGATTTGTGGGGTGGTTTTTTTCCTGCTTCCTCCCTCCCCAGGAATCCGGAGAGAGTCGACCTCGCGCCACGAATCGCGGATGAGGCGCGGCGAGCGAGCTCGGAACTGGCGCGCCGGGCATCCGGGCAGCCGGGCAGCCACACCGCGCCAGACGCACCACCCCGGCAGCACCACCTCGGCAGCACCACCCCACGGACTCGTACCGAGACTCCGAGACTCACCTCCCCAGAGCCGTAGACTCTGCGGGGCTGCTTTCGCCCGACGAGACATCATCGGTGCGAGGGCCACCACAACGCTTTTACAACCACTGGGGATTTGACAGCACGTTGATGAATGGGGGGGGGGGGGGGGGGTGTCGTCACGTGCTGTGTATTGTGGGGGGCCGCACGTCAGGGGCCGCACTAAAGGCCGCCAGGAGCCGCTAATGGCCCACGGAGCATCGCAACGAAGCACGCCGCCCCGTACATTGAGAGCCATCCTCGAGCACGGAGAGACCCATGGACTCACGTGGAGATACACAGGCAGCGGAGACTCCCACAGACACCAGCACACACAGTGGGGCAGCGTGAGTGGCAGGGGCCTTGAGTGTAACCCCTCTGTCCAATTCCCCCCCCCGCCACCGGCCCCTGGCTGGGTGGGCCCCGGTGCAGTTGCACCGCCTGCACACCGTGACAGCTGCGTCACTACGCAGAAGGGACCATGAGGATCATGATGATGATGATGATTAGAATGCTGCTGATGATGGTGATAATCGTAGTGGTAATGATTCATTGTTGTGACGGTGGTGGGGATGCTGCGGATACTGCTACTAACACTGTGACTGCAGCTGCTGCTGCTGCTGATGATGATGATTATGATGATGATTATTACAATGGCAGTGATTAATAGTTGTGATGTTGGTCGTGGTGTGGAGATGCTACTGGACACTACGGCGAGCACTGCTGCTGATGATGACGGTGGTGCCGATGATGATGACGGTGGTGCTGATGACGATGCAGATGATGATGACGATGGTGCTGATGATGACGCTGATGATGATAACGGTGGTGGTGATGATGACGGTGGTGCTGATGATGATGACGGTGGTGCTGATGATGCTGATGATGACGGTGGTGGTGATGATGGCGGTGGTGCTGATGATGACGACGGTGGTGGTGCTGATGATGCTGCTGATGATGACGGTGGTGCTGATGATGATGACGGTAGTGCTGATGATGACGACGGTGGTGCTGATGATGCTGCTGATGATGACGGTGGTGATGATGATGATGCTGACGTTGGTGCTGATGACGATGGTGCTCATGAAGATGACGACGATGACGTCTCCAGAGCTCGCCCTTGTGCGAGCCGGGGTTTGTCTCGGACCTTGGATCTCGGCTGAGAATCGCGCCGAGTGTCGCGACACGAACATCTTGAGCTGCTGGTCCAGCGAGCGCGACCGGGCGTTCACCTCCCAGCCACGCACGCCTGCAAAGACAGAGACAAAGGTCCCCCGTGTAGCCTCCCAGAGACCGTTGGGACGAGTGCTGCGAGCGCCTACGAAGGCCGGCACGGAGCACGAGGAGGCTGTGGGGGGCCATCAGCACCGTCGCTGATGTTTCATGTCCACCGCGCCAGGTACTCAGCGAGAGGCCGAGCCGAACTCGTGGAGCCCCAAGGGATTCCCCACCGATGTTGTTGCTCGTAAGAGGGAGTCGAACCGGGATGGCAGGGTTTGTGGCGCAGTGTAATGCGGAGACGATCAACCCATAGAGTCACACAGAGATACATGGAGACTCATAGGAGGCACATAGAGACACATACACATATAGAGATACATAGACATACATTGAGACCCATATATAGAGAGACGTAAAGAGGTAGATTCAAGGCAAGCCACAGCAGTGAGACTGTGACCATGCAACCCAAGCTATGGACCACACAGTGAACCCACTGCGACACGAACTCTCTCTGTCTGCTGTCGTGGCGAGCAGCAGCAGCAGCAGCAGGCCTCGTCAGTAGCACCGAGCTCCTGAACCATCTCACTGCTGCTGCTGCTGCCGCCATCATCATGCGACAAGAACGGTGCAGCAGCATTCTCCTGGATCTTAGCTCAAGTCGATTCATACAGCGCCTTACTCCAAGGCGCTTCCACAACAATATTACATTTGTACATAAGATGATCGTGGTTGGAATAAATAGTGGGGGGGGGGGGGGGGGGGTATTATTAAACGTGTTGGTGTAGTCATGGTGACAGGAGGACAGGAGGCGGGAGTGGTTAAGGAGTAATTGTGATAGTAACAGTGGTAGTGATAGGGGTTGGGGTAGTGATAGGGGTTGGGGTTTTGGTAGTGATAGGGGGTGTGGTAGTAACAGGGGTTGGGGTTTGGGTAGTGATAGGGGCTGGGGTAGTGATAGGGGTTGAGGTAGTGATAGTAACAGGGGTTGTGGTAGTGATAGGGGTTGTGGTAGTGATAGGGGTTGGGGTTTGGGTAGTGATAGGGGCTGGGGTAGTGATAGGGGTTGGGGTTTGGGTAGTGATAGGGGCTGGGGTAGTGATAGGGGTTGGGGTAGTGATAGGGGTTGGGGTTTGGGTAGTAACAGGGGTTTGGGTAGTGATAGGGGTTGGGGTAGTGATAGGGGCTGGGGTAGTGATAGAGGTTGGGGTTTGGGTAGTAACAGGGGTTTGGGTAGTGATAGGGGTTGGAGTAGTGATAGGGGTTGGGGTAGTGATAGGGGTTGGGGTAGTGATAGGGGTAGTGATAGGGGTTGGGGTAGTGATAGGGGTGGGGTGGTGATAGGGGTTGGGGTGGTGATAGGGGTTTGGGTGGTGATAGGGGTTGGGGTAGTGATAGGGGTAGTGATAGGGGTTGGGGTAGTGATGGGGGTAGTGATAGGGGTTGGGGTAATGATAGGAATTGGGGTAGTGATAGGGGTTGTGATAGTAACAGGGGTTGGGGTAGTGATAGGGGTTGGGGTAGTGATAGGGGCTGGGGTAGTGATAGGGGTTGGGGTAGTGATAGGGGTTGGGGTAGTGATAGGGGTTGGGGTAGTGATAGGGGTTGGGGTAGTGATAGGGGTTGGGGTAGTGATAGGGGTTGGGGTAGTGATAGGGGTTGGGGTAGTGATAGGGGTTGGGGTAGTGATAGGGGTTGGGGTAGTGATGGGGGTTTGGGTAGTGACAGGGGTTGGGGTAGTGATAGGGGTTGGGGTAGTGACAGGGGTTGGGGTAGTGATAGGGGTTGGGGTAATGATAGGGGTTGGGGTAGTGATAGGGGTTGGGGTAATGATAGGGGTTGGGGTAGTGATAGGGGTTGTGATAGTAACAGGGGTTGGGGTAGTGATAGGGGTTGGGGTAGTGACAGGGGTTGGGGTAGTGATAGGGGTTGGGGTAGTGATAGGGGTTGGGGTAGTGATAGGGGTTGGGGTAGTGATAGGGGTTGGGGTAGTGATAGGGGCTGGGTTAGTAACAGGTGTTGGGGTAGTGACAGGGGTTGTGGTAGTGATAGGGGTTGGGGTAGTGATAGGGGTTGGGGTAGTGATAGGGGTTGGGGTAGTGATAGGGGTTGGGGTAGTGAAAGGGGTTGGGGTAGTGATAGGGGGTGGGGTAGTGATAGGGGTTGGGGTAGTGATAGGGGCTGGGGTAGTGATAGGGGTGGGGTAGTGATAGGGGCTGGGGTAGTGACAGGGGTTGGGGTAGTGATAGGGGTTGGGGTAGTGATAGGGGTTGGGGTAGTGATAGGGGTTGGGGTAGTGACAGGGGTTGGGGTAGTGATAGGGGTTTGGGTAGTGACAGGGGTTGGGGTAGTGATAGGGGTTGGGGTAGTGATAGGGGTTGGCGTAGTGACAGGGGTTGGGGTAGTGATTGGGGTTGGGGTAATGATAGGGGTTGGGGTAGTGATAGGGGTTGGGGTAGTGATAGGGGTGGGGGTAGTGATAGGGGTTGTGATAGTAACAGGGGTTGGGGTAGTGATAGGGGTTGGGGTAGTGATAGGGGTTGGGGTAGTGATAGGGGCTGGGGTAGTAACAGGTGTTGGGGTAGTGACAGGGGTTGTGGCAGTGATAGGGGTTGGGGTAGTGATAGGGGTTGGGGTAGTGATAGGGGGTGGGGTAGTGACAGGGGTTGGGGTAGTGATAGGGGTTGGGGTAGTGATAGGGGTTGGGGTAGTGATAGGGGCTGGGGGAGTGATAGGGGTGGGGTAGTGATAGGGGCTGGGGTAGTGACAGGGTTGGGGTAGTGATAGGGGTTGGGGTAGTGATAGGGGTTGGGGTAGTGATAGGGGTTGGGGTAGTGACAGGGGTTGGGGTAGTGATGGGGGTTTGGGTAGTGACAGGGGTTGGGGTAGTGATAGGGGTTGGGGTAGTGATAGGGGTTGGCGTAGTGACAGGGGTTGGGGTAGTGATTGGGGTTGGGGTAATGATAGGGGTTGGGGTAGTGATAGGGGTTGGGGTAATGATAGGGGTTGGGGTAGTGATAGGGGTTGTGATAGTAACAGGGGTTGGGGTAGTGATAGGGGTTGGGGTAGTGATAGGGGTTGGGGTAGTGATAGGGGTTGGGGTAGTGATAGGGGTTGGGGTAGTGATAGGGGTTGGGGTAGTGATAGGGGTGGGGGTAGTGATAGGGGCTGGGTTAGTAACAGGTGTTGGGGTAGTGACAGGGGTTGTGATAGTGATAGGGGTTGGGGTAGTGATAGGAGTTGGGGTAGTGATAGGGGTTGGGGTAGTGATAGGGGCTGGGGTAGTGACCGGGGTTGGGGTAGTGATAGGGGTTGGGGTAGTGATAGGGGTTGGGGTAGTGATAGGGGTTGGGGTAGTGATAGGGGTTGGGGTAGTGATGGGGGTTTGGGTAGTGACAGGGGTTGGGGTAGTGATAGGGGTTGGGGTAGTGATAGGGGTTGGGGTAGTGACAGGGGTTGGGGTAGTGATAGGGGTTGGGGTAGTGATAGGGGTTGGGGTAGTGATAGGGGTTGGAGTAGTGATGGGGGTTTGGGTAGTGATAGGGGTTGGGGTAGTGATAGGGGTTGGGGTAGTGATAGGGGTTTGGGTAGTGACAGGGGTTGGGGTAGTGATAGGGGTTGGGGTAGTGATAGGGGTTGGGGTAGTGATAGGGGTTGGGGTAATGAAAGGGGTTGGGGTAGTGATGGGGGTTTGGGTAGTGACAGGGGTTGGGGTAGTGATAGGGGTTGGGGTAGTGATAGGGGTTGGGGTAGTGACAGGGGTTGGGGTAGTGATAGGGGTTGGGGTAGTGATAGGGGTTGGGGTAGTGATAGGGGTTGGAGTAGTGATGGGGGTTTGGGTAGTGATAGGGGCTGGGGTAGTGATAGGGGTTGGGGTAGTGATAGGGGTTGGGGTTTGGGTAGTAACAGGGGTTTGGGTAGTGATAGGGGTTGGGGTAGTGATAGGGGCTGGGGTAGTGATAGAGGTTGGGGTTTGGGTAGTAACAGGGGTTTGGGTAGTGATAGGGGTTGGAGTAGTGATAGGGGTTGGGGTAGTGATAGGGGTTGGGGTAGTGATAGGGGTAGTGATAGGGGTTGGGGTAGTGATAGGGGTGGGGTGGTGATAGGGGTTGGGGTGGTGATAGGGGTTTGGGTGGTGATAGGGGTTGGGGTAGTGATAGGGGTAGTGATAGGGGTTGGGGTAGTGATGGGGGTAGTGATAGGGGTTGGGGTAATGATAGGAATTGGGGTAGTGATAGGGGTTGTGATAGTAACAGGGGTTGGGGTAGTGATAGGGGTTGGGGTAGTGATAGGGGCTGGGGTAGTGATAGGGGTTGGGGTAGTGATAGGGGTTGGGGTAGTGATAGGGGTTGGGGTAGTGATAGGGGTTGGGGTAGTGATAGGGGTTGGGGTAGTGAGAGGGGTTGGGGTAGTGATAGGGGTTGGGGTAGTGATAGGGGTTGGGGTAGTGATAGGGGTTGGGGTAGTGATGGGGGTTTGGGTAGTGACAGGGGTTGGGGTAGTGATAGGGGTTGGGGTAGTGATAGGGGTTGGGGTAGTGATAGGGGTTGGGGTAATGATAGGGGTTGGGGTAGTGATAGGGGTTGGGGTAATGATAGGGGTTGGGGTAGTGATAGGGGTTGTGATAGTAACAGGGGTTGGGGTAGTGATAGGGGTTGGGGTAGTGATAGGGGTTGGGGTAGTGATAGGGGCTGGGGTAGTGATAGGGGTTGGGGTAGTGATAGGGGTTGGGGTAGTGATAGGGGTTGGGGTAGTGATAGGGGCTGGGGTAGTAACAGGTGTTGGGGTAGTGACAGGGGTTGTGGTAGTGATAGGGGTTGGGGTAGTGATAGGGGTTGGGGTAGTGATAGGGGTTGGGGTAGTGATAGGGGCTGGGGTAGTGACAGGGGTTGGGGTAGTGATAGGGGTTGGGGTAGTGATAGGGGTTGGGGTAGTGATAGGGGCTGGGGTAGTGATAGGGGTGGGGTAGTGATAGGGGCTGGGGTAGTGACAGGGGTTGGGGTAGTGATAGGGGTTGGGGTAGTGATAGGG